GAGTAGCACACGGTTTAGACATCACCATTTCAGATTTACTAAGCTAATCACTAACATATTTATCTTGAGAGAGAAATAATTCATCCTTCTTGTGAACAACTTGAATACCAAGGAATCACTATATGTGGATTTAAAACCCAAAGATGGCAAGAAACTAGTAAATTTGTCATTCCAAGCCCTTGGGGCTTTCTTGAGACCATATAAAGACTTGTGTAATTTGCAGACATAATCATTGTGAGTGGAGTCCAGAAAACCAAGAGGTTGAGCCATATATACTTCCTCTTGTAACACACCATACAAAAAAACATTTTTCACATCAAGTTGTCTGAGAGTCCAATTAAAGTGAGCAGCCAAAGCAAGTACTAACCTCACAGTGGTTGGCTTAACCATTGGACTAAATGTCCCACCATAGTCTATACATTTCTCTTAATTGTACCCTTTTGCAACCAATCGAGCCTTATATCTCTCTATAGAATCATCAACATTATTTTTAATCTTAAACACCCACTTGCAGCCTACCAAGTTTCTATGAGGAGGAAGAGGTACTAGAGACTAGGTTCTTTGATTATGAAGAACACTCAATTCATCTTTCATTACAGCTAACCATACTAGAGATTTTAATGCTGATTTGTAAGTTGCAGGTTCAACTTTAGTAAGATCAACACCACAATGTTCATGGACAGAAGCTAATAAAGAAACCTTTTTAGAAACTGCTACTCTTGGATCTAGTTTGCATAGGATGAAGGTTCAATGGTGGTATAGACCAAACCACTTGAAGTTGTTCACCCTGAAATTCAAGAACCACAGAGAGTGAAGGAGAAAATTGATGTGCAGTGCCAGTAATGGGTTAACTTGAGGTAGAAAAACTAGAACTGGAATCGTTCAGAGTTGCAGAGTTGTTGTCATTAACAGATGCAGAATTGTGGGCATTCAGATTTGCAGGGCTAACTTTAGTTGACATAGGTACATATTTTATGCTTGGTGTATGGGATACTGATGGTGATAATGAAATAGGCAAATAATTAAACTGAGGTGTAACTAGAGCCTTGTTAAGGTTTGGGGTTAACACAGGTGTAGATATGACACTATAGGCAATGTAGTATTCACTCTTGAGCAGTGAGAAACCAAATTGGGATATGGAAATTCTGTCTCATCAAATAGAACATGTCGAGATATATAAAATCTCCTCTTGTTGACTTCAAAACAAATATAGCCCTTATATTTTGAAGCATAACCTAAGAAAATGCACTTTGTAGTTTTAGGTTGCAGTGTGGTATGATTATAAGGTCTAAGCAAATGATAGCATAAACAACCAAACACTCTAAGATGATGAATCTCAGGAATGGAGTTAAACAAAGCTTTAAATGGTGATTTATTGTCCAATGTTGATGAAGGCATTCTATTGATGAGATAGACTAAGGCTTGAGAAGCAAAAAATGACCAAAATGAAGGTGGTAATAAGGTTGTTTGTAATAAAGTGATGGATGTGTCTATAATGTGCCTATGTTTCCTTCTCTGCAAGCCCGTTTTGTTTTGAGGTATGTGTCTATGTTCCCTTACAACATGTTCCATGCGTGGAAAGTGTTTTTTACTTTTATTTTTATTTTATTTTTTTATTTTTATTTTATTTTTATTTTTATAGGGTTTACCAAACATAAAAAACTTTTGTTATATATAGGAGTCAATCGCACATGAAAAATTCTTGCTCTTCATATGGATGTCATCTTACTGTATTTTTTTCTTAACAGGAGTCCGATATATATGGACGAACCAAAATAAACGTCACAGGTTGCGATATCAAACCTTCCTTGGCTAACAAACTCCAAAAATCAGTGTCTCGTCATCTTGGCGAACTCTACACCGTGGTCTGCTGCTCTCTTTAATATCGTCACTATAGCGAATCTGCCAAAGCTAATTATTATTAATAAAAACGTAAATTGCCAAAGCTTAAAATTTCTTTTTATCTTATTGGAATTTACTTGAAACTAAGTACTACTATTCCAAATTCTAGTATTCAATTTATCCTTATGTATCTGCAGTGGTGTTTTGCAAAAAGTCATTTCCTTTCCTAAATTCTCATCATCCCTCTCTATTTCGTCAGCGACATTCTCTCTCAATGGTTACTGCTGGCTAATGTAAAGTTAAAAGTATAATGTTAGTTTAAAAGACAAAAACTCAGTGGGGGTTAGAATAAATGTATTTATAAAGTTTTATTTTTTTTTTTTACACAATCGATAATAGATATACCGAGCATAAGACCTGGAGTGCTTTGAGAGAGAATAAAAGTTTCGAAACATTTGAAGAAAGGCGGTCTAATGAACGCAAAATATAATGGGGCGCAAATAAAGTACTGATAATGTGGCAAAAAAAAAAGAGGAGAAAATGTGAGCAATGGCCAATCACCATACAATGCATGGCATGAAATGGAGATGTTTAAGACAATGTGAGAAAATGTTAGAATCACATGAAATGAAACATGCATGCTTGTGATTATCAGTATTTATTTAACTATCCCTAAAAGTTTTAAGACAAAAGTTTAGACAGGTGTGTACGCCATGATGTTCTCTTTTGAAGGTTAGTTGAATTCCTACTATACACATATATCAAAGAACAATTATTTTATATATCTTCTATCCATTAGTAAACCTTCTTGTCCATATCCTTCTGCACATTATTTCCATGCTCAAGTGGCCAACAAATACACGATTCAAAGTCATTCCCACATTGTTTAAAACGTCTGCCAATGGTCCATATGGCTCCATTGCCGAGCACAAACAACAACCACCCCCCCACACCCCACCCCCCCCCCCCCCCCCCCCCCAAACAAAAAAACCCTAACCCCAAAACAAAAAACCGCAACCAAATGACGTCTACAGGTACCATATATACTTAGCAGTTTACATACAAGAAGTATTGTTCTCTATATTGCCAATTGAATTTATAATGAAATCTCAACTTCTGTTTACAAACTTAAATTGTTAAGATCAGTCTCTTGCACGTATGTTGATAATTTTGAAGTATAATTTAGCTCCCATAATATCTTTGAGGTGGTTTTCAAAATAGGCCATGAAGTTTTAATCTCATTTTACATCCTGGGGTTGAAATGTATCAATTTTATAAATTTTGAGAAAGACATAAATTGATACAATTTCAATATATAATTTATGGTGCAAAATGAGAAAATTCAAACCTCGTGACCCAATTTGAAAATCTTACTAAACCTGGAGGATGCGAAATGTAGTTAGCCCTTACTTAAACTAGTATAAATTAGAACCAAACAGTTACATCCTTACTAAAATTTATACCGCTTATTGGGATCACAAATTAAATCGATATACAGAACCAAAATGAAAAAAAGGGAGTTGGAAAAGAACAATACTTGGCTACTCAAAAAGCATCAAAACCAATTTATAAAACATTGTGCTCATGATCGAAATCTTGGTATTTAGAGAAGGAATTCCTCGTTATCTTTTGAGTAGCTAAGTTAATTTCGCTGGAAAGATGGGGGATAGATAGTTATATTAAGTTAGGGTGTCATTATTAAGTTAGGGGGTGTAGGACCTAACCGCACGTCTACATGTTTGTAGCAGTGGGTGGCAAAGCAAAAGTGATTATGATTAATATAATATTAGTTATTTAATATACACTGTATTGCTCAGACAAACCGTGACTCCGTAACTTAAACAAATAAATTGAGAGAAAGGACGGAGGAGAAAATCTCCTTTCTCTCTTCCTAATGTTTGTGCTTCCCTGGGCAGCCAGTGTTGCATTCCAATGTCATTCCCTTTTTTCATTCATTGTCGAATATCGTTCGTTTCTTTTCTTCTATATCTTTATGCCTCTTGCACGTACGATTTGGATTTTATAGATATGCCCAATTAATTCAATAACCACATTGGCACAATATTCTACCAAATATATATGTTTAACATTTAATAAATTCATCATACTAATTGGATCTGATAAATGTTCTCCCATATGTGCAACTCCGTACTAATTAAACTATTGAAATTATATATACTTGTGTCTCCTATTTCTGTGAATTAAAGGGGCCAGCAGTTCCCTAACCTGGATGGATTACTTAATTAATTCTTATCCAAACTAATTAAATAGCTAGTTAGTGTTGTGAGCTTGTCTAACGACCACAGTTTTGTCGGGGGCTAGAGTTAATTAGTTCGAACGTAAACATCCCCTTCACCGCGGTCCAAATATTACCAATCAATGCCAGCTTTCTTTTTATCGAGGGGTAAAGTAGATGAATATAATGTTTTAGCTAGGCTTATTTTTTGGAATGTCTCTAGAACTCAATTAGTATCACTTTCTTCCCTGTAATTCAATTATTCCATTTTTTTTAAGTAACTCAATTCTTATCCCACACGTGTCACCACACAAGTAACCTGAAAGGTACATGAGCAAACTTAACATATATTTCATGAACTTAACGGAATTCTGGCAATGTAAAATGAACATTGAGTTCTAAAAGAAAGTGGAACAAAGTAAATTTTTGGAGAAAAAATGACACTAAAATTAAATTTTAAGAGAATTACAAAAACTAAGCTACATTTGTTCGAAGTATATGATCACTAGTGATGTAGAGATATGCTCTCTTGCAGATAGGTTTAATACAGGTTATATATAATTGGTAATGTGGCTCTACATGTATTACTACCCAACTACAAAGAACGAAATTAATTCATCAAAAGAATAGAAAGGGGTTTGGTTTGTGGTAGCTCTTTTTGTCGTATAAGGAGGTACAATGGAATCTAAAATTGAGACTCAGTGTATACAAATTTAAGATGGAAGGAAAAGGGAAAAAAATAATGATGTATGTACCCCATTAAGGGGACCATTTGCAATTAATTATTGATATTTTACAATCAACTCCACTCTTCCTATAGTGTTTATAAACATGGTGATAAATAATGCTGAGCACAAATGATAAGCTAAAGCCAACAGAGCAGAAATCACCAAAATCCCTAAATTAAAGCATAATTGAAATCATGACTGGTTCTGGTTCTCCTTGTGGAGCCTGCAAGTTCTTGAGAAGAAAATGTGTGAGAGGGTGTATTTTTGCACCTTACTTCTGCCATGAACAAGGTGCTACCCATTTCTCGGCCATCCACAAGGTTTTTGGCGCAAGCAATGTGTCAAAGCTGCTTGCTCACCTTCCGGTGAGTGATCGTTGTGAAGCCGCCATGACGATATCATATGAAGCTCAAGCGAGGCTTCAAGATCCCATTTATGGTTGTGTTTCACATATTTTTGCTCTCCAACAGCAGGTTTGTAGCTTTTGACCTTGAACTTGTGGGTAAAAATAGAAAACCTAATGCTGTTTAATTATCTTATAGTTATATTATACATCCAATTGATTGATGAATATATGCTTTTGCTTTGAAATCTTCAGGTGGTCAGCTTACAAGCACAATTAGCTTCCCTTAAGGATCAAGCAGCTCAATGCTTTCTCAACGGCTCTGCTGTAGCTAACCCTAATGAGAAATTTTATGGGAAAGCTCCTTCTCACACAGAAGAAGCTCATAGTTGGTTTCATGAGTTAGAAAATTCATCAAACCCTTTGCAAAAACTGATCAATTCCAATGATGCTGGAACCACATCATACTATGAGAATGGAATGATGAATTCATACAACTCTGTTAATGGGAGTTATGAAAATTCAATGAATATCCCAGATGAAAATGTCTCTTCGTATGGCAGCTTTGAAGAGGGCACTTCTCATTCCAGGTCTTCTTTTGACATGCAAACGAATTACAACAGGCAATGGGGTTTTCAGGATGCTGATGAACTTCAGCCAGTGGCTTTCAGATACACTGACCTGCATTCACGATGAAGAGGTGACCGGCAATGATAGTATACCGGTGAACGAGTTCTATATATCGTCAGTTAAAATGACTGTGTGTCAGTTTTGAATTTCAGCCCTGCATACTTTGAAGCATTCACTTTAAATTTGATGCTATCGTTAAGCTCAGACTTATAATGAACCCTAGAAACGTTAATACAAGTGGAAACCCTACGTACCATATATATGTTAAAGCTAGCCAGTGTAATTTTATATATTGGTCGAATAATATAAGTTCATTTCTCTGATCGGTCAGTCTCTGACACAAATGGATAGATCTCATGATATTCTGCTTGACCTAATTTTCTTTGTTTATTGAACCTCATGTAGACCTAAAAATTTGACCTAGTTTTGCTTTGTTAATACTGCTCTTTCTATATAAACTCAGTATGTTGCATTTCACAAATTATTTTATCTTGTTGTTTAATTTGATCTCAAGTTAAAGATATACTGATTTGAAGGCGTAATGGACAAATCTAATGACCCTAGAATATTCTATCTCCAATACATTTGCTTAAACAATAAGATCAGATAGAAATTTAATGTTTGAAGATTTACTAGGTGCAAGTAGCTGCAGCTAGCTAGCTTAATTCTTTACTCGCACTGAATGTTAGCATATAATTTATTTCCTATCTTGCTATATAATTATATATTAGACCATTTTTACTATTTTTTTCCTTTCTTGAATGGTTTTTTTTTTTCTGAAAATATATGATTGAAGTACTTGATGAAGTTCAGAATTAGTTTCCTTTTTGTCCTCATATAACTCTTGCCATATATATATATATATGTATGTATGTATATTATACCACCTGTCTAGCTACCTGTTTCCATTCTTGTATATGGTTTCTAAGAAAATAGATGATTGAATGACTTGATGAAGTTAATTCATGAAAGGATAACATCTAAATCTGCAGCTTTTACGTCTCATATTTGTAATAATAACATGAGGAGGATTGCACCTCAAATTTAGAAAGCCCTGATCCCAATGAAATCAAAACCTCTCTCTGTCATTGGAACTTGGGAGGAAACCCTGAAAATTTTCTCCCAACTCTGGTCTTCCAACCCCTTTTGTTTAATTATTTCCTTCTTCCAAAAATTTTATCTTTCCCAGATTTTGTTTCATGATTTCTTGAAAAACATGCAAATATGAATACAACATTTGATCAAGTGGAAACCTTAATTAGAACTCAATTGATATTTGTATCTTCTTAACACCTGCAATTTAAGCTATTATTTTGTCAAGCGTGATGCTTGTTTTTGTGTGAGAAACTGTAGTAGACTGCATATACATGCATGCTTTTTTCAAAATCATGTTTATCTGATTCTGATATATAATGGTATATATTGTGCTCATCAATGCAAATATTTTAGGGACTAAGGTTAAACTGCCTGCTTATGAGTTTTTTGCTAATTGCAGAATGATGATCCTGTGGATCAAAACCCTATCTATCTATATATTCTAGTGAAAGCATTTCAAGTATATCTCCAGCATTTCATTCATATTTCCTAATTAATAACAAATTAAGAAATGTGATATGGCTAATTCTGAGATCAATATGGATCATCAAAACCCTAGCTATCTTCAGACCAAAAAAAAACCCTAGCTATATATATATATATATATATCAAACATAATGAGATGCAGAATTCCATTATCCCAAATTTTATGGGTTACAAAACTCCGTTGATTTTACTATTTATAGTACTAGTGCTTATTGATTGTTTAATCAGGCGTGCCCTAATCCTTCCATAAAAAAAGGGAAGTGGTTTTTTACTTTTATTTTCTTGCTCAACCCCCAGAACCATTACAGTTAGAAAGAAATAATCGCGTACACTATACGTTCTTTAGGACGTACATTATTCATGATTCATAAGTTAATTCAGACAATTACTTTAGCTATGTAGTTGTTAATATTTTTAGCTAGAATATAATGTAATTGAAAGGTATCTAATTTCTCAAATTTGAGTTGTGTTTTATGTGTACTCCTGTCAGTTGAGTGAGGTGGTATGTTCCCAGCAATGCTATAGATAGCCTTATGGCTCTCATTTTTTTTATTAACTTCTTCACTAAGAAATATCAAGATTACAGTTTCTCTCACTTCGATTCTCTCTCTGTTTTCTAAAGCTTCTATCTCTAGACCGTTATACGCATTTCTCTCTTTAGATTAACATGGTCAACCATTTAATACTGCTGCTTTTTACAAGAGTGTTGTAGGAGCTCTATAGTGCTTACTTTCACATATCTTATTCCACATGAGATTTGACTGTTAAATCATTTAGTGATGCTAACTGGGCAGGGGATGGCAATGACAAGATCGAAATAGAGTCGAGGTGTTTTTCTGAAGTCAAACCAAATCTAGCTAAAAATCGTCATGACTTTTCAGTGTAAGTCGTCGGGGATGACTGGGATGTCACCGGTGACAACTTCCGGTCGTTGGGGATGGCGGTTCCACCAAAAAGCAATGAAAGAAGACAGGAGGGGCTCGGCGTGAGGCGAGCGTGGATGGCGTCTTTGGTCCAATGGGAAAGATGGCACAAATGACATTGTTTTGGCCATTTTGTTTTTTCTTTTAGGGGTGTGATATCCACACATCATTTTTTTACTTCTCACACACCCTTTTATTAATTTTTAGTCGTCGGATCGGATGAATTGAAAAAAAATCAAAGGGCATAAATTAGAACAAGAGGTGTGCGGATAGCACACCGTTTTTTTATATTAAAAACAGCAGCTCGGCTAGGCTTGGAGCTGCTCATCGGCGCTTTTTAAGCTGCTGGAGCGTGGCACTGCGGCACGGCTCGACGTGGCGTGGCTTCAGGCACGGCTTACACAATTAGGATCTTTTTTTTTTCTTTTTTTTTTCTTTGCTTATTCACACAAATGCAATTCACCACAACTATAATAACAGTAAAAGAATATAATTGCAAACAATAATTTGAGTAAATATATAATTCGGTAATCGAAAATTAGAGTTCGATCATGTTTAATAGTGAATGTTGCATGCAATCAAGCTGGAAAAAAATATCGACAATTTAGACGGTGAACTATTCTCACCCATTGTCAGATCTCAAAATCTTAACTTTTATACCATACTATGTTTTAAAAGAACCTGGATTGTGATGATGAATTGTGAACGGGTTTGTAGCAAAAAACCTTCGATTCCTTAGTACAACAACAAAAGCGTACTGATAACGTGTTATGACCTAATATACTAAAAGAAGAGAGTATGGCAGATAAAGAGATGGAGAAAGGCTTGAGAAATTTTGTGTGTGTTATTTCTTATGCCTAGTGCCTTTATATTTATAGTAAACATGATATGATTCCTTACCTTGCTAGTAATACAATCATAAAGGATAAGATCTTTTAATATCCTAAATACAATGCACTAGTAGTTAACACAATTATACATGTGCTATAATTAATATCACAATAGTTTTCCCTTTGAAGAAGCCGAAGGTGAAACAAATTAAACGGCAAACTAGTCCTCAGTTAAAAGTTAAAACTCCCAATTAACTTGGACCAAACCCATGAATTAGTATATAGACCTAACTCTGTGGGCAACCCCTAAGTGAGTCATGGTAAAAGCCCAAAGACCCATGGAATCTATTCAAGTCCATCTGACCAATCTGAGGAAAAATAAATAAAAGATTTAAAGGAGGCAAACTACTTGTCAAAGAAGGGTGATAGCATCCACATTTTTTTTTACTTTTCACACTTTCTAATTTTTGGTCATTGTATTGAATAAATTGAAAATGATATAAAAAAAATAGAAATTAACAGAGAGAGTAAGAGGTAAAAAAAAGTGTGGATGGTATCACAAGTCAAAATATACAAAGGAATTCTTTGTTAGTTCAAGAAGGACTAATCCAACTGTAACTGATTTCCTTAGGCTAAAAAGGGTGAGTAAAATTTAAGCTCAAGTGGTTAAAACATTTATTTGTGCACACAAAGTCTTATGTTCGGTTATCTTCTCTTTCAATATCGTTTATGTGAAAAATAAATAATTAAAAGAAGAGAATAAGTGTTTATCAAAACATATACTACTATACATTTATGCGTTTAGATACATCATTTTAACCAAATTTTACGTGTGACCACATCAAGGTTTGTTACAACAAAATCATTGCAAAACTACATAATGTTAGAAGTATAAGATTGTAAAGCTGAGATGATGCCACATGTAAACAGATTAGCTTGTCTGTTATATTTGTTAGAAGAGTTGGTTAACTATGACTATAAATACTCTATCTTGTAATAGCTTCCTTATTAAGCAAGATATCAATTCAATCATATTCTCCCTCTTATTTCTCTGTATACAATTCTCTCTCTCTCTCTCTCTCTCTCTCTCTCTCTCTCTCTCTCTCTCTCTCTCTCTCTCTCTATATATATATATATATATATATATATTCATAGAACCCGAGATACTTGGTTAACATGGTATCCATCGCCATTGTTGCTCACGCATAAAGATTTAATCCTTCGTTGCTTTCGCATTCTACAATTCTTCGTCTACTACTCTGCAGCTGAATTGTCTTTTCTCTTGGTGATTTTTCTTGGTGTTCAAGATTCTAGGGTTTCTACATCAAGTGAAGATTCTTGTTTTCTGGGTGTTTTTCGTCTGCACACCAGGTGTTTGCTTTTTTCTTTGAGCCACGAAAGGTATTTTTTCACTCAAATTCTTCGTATACAAACATGGTAATTGCTTCGCAACTTTAGATTTTGCAATCTCCAATTACTGGGTTGATTTCCTCTGTCTCAAATTCTGTGAATGTCAAATTGGATGAATCTAATTACCTTAATTGGCATTTTCAAATGGAATGCTGGAGGGACATGGAATTATGGGGTTTGTTGATGGTTTATCTCCATGTCCTCCTCGTTTTGTATCGTCTGATTCTGTTGCATCTGAAGTTAGTTCTGGTAACTCATCTGCTAATGTTGAAAATGATGAATATAAAGTGAGAAAAATGCACGATCGTGCATTTATCCAGTTGATAACTGCTACACTGTCACCTGTAGCTGTTTCTTGTGTTATAGGGAGTACTAGTTCTCAGGACATTTGGACTTGTCTCAAAGATAATTTTTCGACAGTTTCAAGAACTAGTATCTTTCAGATGAAGTTTGATTTACAAAACATTA